CCCCCCCCCCCCCCCCCCCCCCAATGAATATATTGTCATCTATTTGCATCAAACCAAACCGTAATTAGCTGAGCCAAAATCGCTATTGTGGAGTGCAGACATGATGTAATCTGATGTGAACATTACTTCCTGTTTGAGCAAGCAAGCTTCAAAGTTTCCCTTTTCTTACAACAGAAATATCAACTGTTGTCAGTCATTTCAATGTAGTCCATAGCAACAGCTGTCTCAGCCAAACTGATCCTTCATTAGCAACAGGTCTTCAGTGCTGTTAGAGTGGCCTGTAATTACAGCTATGGGAAATTAATCAAAGTGACTGCAGTCACTTACTGTCAGTGAGAAAATGAAGATCTTAAGAAAAGCAGAACAAATAGGAAATCATGCACCTGGGACCAGACACAGCTGATATTGTTAAAAGTTCTAAAAGCATAAAAGTTCAGGCAGTTTAAATGGCTGTGAGGATGATTTCATTTAGACACTGATGATAAGATTAATTCACGTGGAAATGTGGTATTGTTTTTATTCATTTTTCGCCCTGTTGCAGTTTTATCGGTAATCACGTGCTTGTGTAGATTTGTAGACTGGCGCTTAAATCAGAAAGATGGAAGTTTTTTGTTGCATGCAATTAAGTTAAAATGTAGTGGCTGTTATGATTACTGCTTTGAAATATCTGCATCATTACTTTGGTTGATACCTATGAATAAAAGTATTAAACAGTGCATACCAACTCCATTTAATATTATGTGTGCATGTTATCTTGTGTGCAGACCTTCAGGAACAGAAGATATTGTTCGAGTTTATGCAGAGGCAGACACACAGGCCAGTGCTGATCGACTGGCACTTCAGGTCGCTTCTGTGGTACATCAGTTGGCAGGGGGAATAGGTAGTCCTCCTGTACCAGAGTGATTGATAATGAATAAAGCAAGTGGCTTGCATGTGGTGAAAGGATACAACTTAAAGGTAATAATTACATATTACATAAAACATTTTGATTCCATGCCTGGACATTTTTGACTCGCAATAACAAAATAATTTCAGTTTTCACGTGTAATTATTAATGTATGGAATTTGTCACTTCAAGTTTATGATACTAAAGTTTCCTGTTTGTATAATTCATAGTTTTCAATTAACAAAATACTGAAAACTACTAAAAGTCAAGAAAATAAAACAAAAGTCTTGTATCATGAGTGTTAAATTTTTTGTTGATTGTTCATATAGTTTTTCCATATCACTGCCTGCTTCTGCATTTTTGATTATTAGTAGTGCCAATTGAGTTGTGTGGTCAGTTTTGTATTAAGGAGATTCTTAGAACTGGAGAGTAGTAGAGGTGAGTAACACTGTAGATCCACTTTGCTCATTCCTTGTGCTCTTAGTACCAGCACTTTGTCATTGGCTTTGTTCTGAATCCTTTGAAGTTGTCTTCCGGGAGTATTTATAATGAAAACCAGATCATCCCTTGAAATTTTGAGACGCCGTAGCCTGTGGATCCAGATTCAACTAATATGAAATCTCTTACAGGCATTGATTTCATGAAGCTACTTAGGCTTATGGTGTATTTTAATGTGGTCTCTGTGCTTGGCATAGGTTAATAAGTTCTACATTCTCATACTTTGTTGCAAGTACTGAGAATGGAGTTTACACATTTGAAGGGTATGAAGGGAGTCTTACGGTTTTCTGCCTCATCACGAGAGTACTTCCATCATCAACTTTGCCCAAAAGATGCCATTGAAGTCATTTTTGTAAAATCTGTTGTATGTTTAAGTCAGTAAACAGTTGCAGGAGAGTATTTTGTTATGTTTTGTTACTTTGGCCAGAACAAAAACAAAGGATTAAATTTTACCTGGTATAAGGTCCGTGAGACTTTTAAGGTGTCTGATGTTATTACCTTACATATGCTGAGCAACATTTTCATTTTCAAGTCAGAAAATGCAGGAAGCAAAGTGTAATATATCTTCAGCTTCCATAATTCTAATTTCTTGGCGGTTCAGTCTTCATCTCCATATGCACTTCATCAGATGTAGCAACAATTTGATCATCACTTAGATGTGTGTGTGGAGTGAGAAATGGTCCTTAGATTGAACTTCACTGACACAGGTAAACTCTCATAGTGTATTTTCCTTTCATGCTTTGTTCATGTTTCTATCATTGTTACAAAATAACAAAACTGGGAAACTGCAATATGACCTTGCAGACATTCTGTATATTGACACTGTTTTTTATTGAAGAAGATATGCTGGTACATAGGTACAATGATTATACTTTTTAATTCTTCACAAAAAGGTTAATAAAGGTAAGTTAAATTAAAAGGTTTCCTTATTGCCATATTTTACATTAAATAAAAAAATTCTTCCATACCCTTATATGGATGTGAAATGTGGTCTCTCACCTTATTTGAGGATGTTTGAAGTGTTGTGTGTAATAATGGGACCCAACAGAGGGGACAAATGGAGTGATAGAGAAAATTACATAATGAAGGACTTAATAATTTCAACTCAACAGATGTTATTGGGTTGACCATATGAACATAAATGGATAGTTAATACCAAATATCAGATGTTGTTTTGTGTGTGGTGCCCTCTTTGATTTTATTTGATCGAGGCCCAGCACTGCTGTTCAGTGTCCAATATGTCAGACCCCACTGTAAGACTGGCTGCAATTATTGTTGCTGGTGACAGTTATGGTTGTAGCTCATCTTCCAATAAGCATCACTGTCACTTTACATTTCATTTTATTCAAGACTGAGTTTCTTGGCCGAAGTCATTATTGAAAATGCTCATACAGTGAGAGATTTAAGTTTTGTATCACTCTAACCCACAACTATGTGTTATGTCAAGCTCTTGACCAAATTATATAGCACTGAATGACAATACTTTAAATGAATAATGAACTAGTAGGGATCTAGAAGGAAAGAGTCATGGTACTATCTCAGCATTTTCCTGAAGGGACTGAGGAAAAACACAAAGAACATTAGTCAGGATAGGTCTCTAGGCTAAGTTTTGAATCTGTTATATCCACAATATGAAGCAGGAGTGCAAAGTACTCGGCTGTGACACTTGGTGAATTACATGTAGGAATGTATTGTACACGAGTAAAATAATTACCAAATCAATCACCCATTTATTGCATTATATGTACCATCTATCATTTAGATAACATTTTTCAATATTCCACTATAAGGTTTTGGGTGCATCAACCCAGTCACTGTTTCTCTTGATGTTTACTACTAATATTTGCTCACTGGAAGATAATTTCCAGAATTTTGCCAAATTATTTGAAGGCCCCATGGTAAAGTTTTATTTTTCACACATTGTGATAATTTCTCAAAACTACCATCAATGTTAATGGTCTCTTCACCATATCAGATTCTCAAAATTTACAATTTGTAATGTTGTATTTTCCAGATGTACCCATCAGTAGGAATTTTCTAGTGTTCCTTAATTATTTGCAGCACTAGCACAGTGAACAGTTGCATTTTTTTGACAGAACCTTAAACATATATATATTTGTCGAGAAGTTACTGCCTTAATCATGGAAAATTGTGATCTCAAATATTCCGCTTTACTGCTAAAACCATGTGGAAATCAGCTGTGTTGCTAACATTTCAGAAAAATATACTGCCTCTCTATCATGAGGGCCAAAATGAGGAATGCTGGGAAGACTTCAGTTTATATAGGGACAGAAGCAGATGGATCAGGTTATAGGAATTGACATTACATTTATTCTGTTTAACCTTTATTGTCCTTGTGTCACGTTTTACATGCAGTCCAGTTTTACATCAGAATTACTATATTTCAAAATTGTGAATAATTTCACAGTATTCTTAGTTTACTGCAGGAACCTCATAGTGTTCACAGGAACGAGGTCAGTAACGTAGCTTACATGGCTAATACCATATTCTGGCACCTCAATTGTATGCCTGACATATCAAGAATAACACAAACTTAATCAGCTGTACATCACAGCATACACAAAGTCCAGCTGGCTATACATCGGGGTAACATACCATTAAAGTCTGGTCAGAAGCCCACGGGTTTTAAATTTGAAATTCTCGTGATGAAGGATAAGTCACCTCAATGTAGTTGAATTTGTATACAGTGCAGTACTTCGGCAACTGCAGAATCAATTAAGCAAATAATATAAAAATATAGAGGGAGAAAAGGATTCTAACTATGTGAACTGAAGCAGAAAAAACTAGACAAAAAAACATGTGGAATGTTTAGATTTTATTTACTTCTTTAATTGTGTCTTAACAGTGAATGATAAACCATTCTAATCTAGCATTTTATACAAACATCAAAAACAACCAGTCACTACTAATAACATATAATTCATAACATCAAAACTGAGTAAAAGGACACAAAACATGAATTATAGAAAATGATAATTATATAGGGTATATTGGCTTCATGACATTGAACTTCAACTCAACTGTAGCCAAAAGTTAACTAATGTAAATTGTGGTGACTGTATATTCCATTAAGTGTAATTCTTGGTATTATATGATTCAGGCTGGTGGTTAAAATCAAAGAGCCATTTACTCCTTACTCTTTTGCCATGTCAGTTTTAGGTTAGATACAGTTTTCACCCTGAATCCTCTTTGGAATGTTTTATTTTCACGTCCCTGCCATCTACTTGGGGATGCTTCAGGGGATGAAGCTCCTACTGCACCACCTTCATTTCTGTTATGGTACATGCTTGAATCTCTGTTCCCAAAATTTTGACTCATATTATGTTGGCTTCCTTCCCTACCATAACTGGCATCTCTTTGGAAATTCTGCCTTCCACCTCCACCCCTCTTAAAACCTTGTCTGCCATCCCCTGCTCCTCTGTAAAAACCCTGATTATTACGAACTTGTCTTTCTCCTAGACCAAACTCCAATTTACTTCCTTCACGTACCTGCAAGTTTCTGTCCTCCTGACTGTTTCTACTTTTTGGTCCACCACCAAGGCAACCTTCTTTCCAATCTCTACGTGTGTCACTACCAACACTACTATTACTTTCTGTTCTTATTCTGCCTCCAAAATTTCTGGGTACATCTGAAGCGCTTCCAATGCTACTGAGACTGTCAGTTCTAGATCTTGGGTTTCCATCATGTTTCCTGACATGATCTGACCGACTATCTACACTGCTATTGCTGCTGTCACGTTTATGGCTCATCTTTACGTCTACAGTTTGATTAAAGTCTCTTGGTCCACTTCGCCAGTTCTTGTCCTGGCTGCTTCTGCTCTCATTACTTGAATCCCTTTGATACGAACTACTGCCAGCATGTCTTTCTTTACTGTGATGTCCATCCCTGCTGTTAGCGCTTGAGTCACGACTTCCACCTCTATAACAGTGTCCACCCCTCTTGCTACTCCTATTCTCAGTGCTAAAATCATGGGTTGTGCCCCTGCTGTATCTGCCATGGAAATTTCTATGAAGACTTCCACCTCCACTACTTTCTCGACTCTGGCTCCTGTTCCCTCCTCTATGACTGTCACCTCTACTTATGCCCCTGCCCCTACCCGAGCCACGAGGTCCACCTCTACCTCTACCTCTACCTCTACCACGGCCACGCAGTGAACGTGATCGACGAGAATAAAAACTACTTATATCATCCAGAACCATCTGGCGGCGAGGTTTTGGAGAATTCTGCAACAGTTCTGAGAAAAGTCCAGAGAATTTGATAATTATCTGGCGAAACAATGTGCGGTCTTCTTCAGACACAGACCGACTCTTTTCTGGGTCTAGTCTTAGTCTTGCCTCATCAATGATTAATTCGTAGATATTTATAGGTGTTTTCATGCGCAAGAATGTACATTTGTGAGTCTGAAATTAAAGTATCTTGATTATTTTTGACATTGTAACTTCATATAATGCAGTGCTCAGGTGAATGATTATTTCCTGAGTAAAGTGACTGGATAAATCTGATAATGTTATCATAAACATCACTATTTTTGGGGGGGGTATTCTCTGCTGTCTTAAAGTCATTTTCAAATTCCACATTTTAGAAACTGGCTCTCTCAGGCATCAATATCATTAGCATCCTGTTAAAATTTAATTACATTACAATGAAGTACAGAAGTGGTCATTTAAAGCTTGTGGTTTTCTGGCTATTATTATCTGCTGGAGAGGAAACAGCCTCACTCAGCTTCAATCTCTCTTTTATCATGAGTTTAACACTGACAAGATGGCAACTAAGTGTGCCAGTCAGCAGTACCATGCATGCCAATGACCAACATGAGATAATTATAAATCAAGTGACCAAAATTCTTGGAATTAATTAGAAAACCTAAATTCATTTCAAATAAATTTGGAAGTAGTCAACATAACTAAATTATTATTGCACAATCAATTTATAATTTTAAATTCTAGATTAATAAAGAATTAAACTAATAGTTTTAATGAGATGAGACAATTATTTTAGCAACATGATCACAATTTTAACAACACTGCCTTATAAAATATACCATAAACATATGCACCCACATTATCCAACCCTCCAGTTATGTAACCCTACCATAAATGTTGACATAACTATTACTGTAAGAGATTAAACATCACTACCAAATTTATTATGTTTTAAGTTTATAAGAAAATCCCAAGTTATTACTTTGAAACAATGGGAAAGATGGAGAAAATTTCCATTCATTTCATAACTATACAAACCAAATTCACAGAAGACAAGATATACGAGGCGCGTCCCAAAAGTAAGTTTCTCTGGGGCCGTTTACAGAAACAAAACACAATTTCATGGAAATATTTATTGCAACAGATACAGCAAGTGTCCAGCTATTTTTCAACATATTCGCC